TTTCCTGCATCCCTGAGTGACCGGTGTGGAACAGCAGCTGTGCCACCTACTCAAGATCGAGGCAAAAGCAGCACACCTCTGTCTTCAAGGAGGTCCGCTGGTAACCTGACAGTGAAATCTCTAGGCCATTGTGTGAGTAACAGTTTATATGCCTTAAGCTGCTTTTTGTTTTGTTTTATTTTTTTGTGACAGAATCTCTCTCTGTAGCCCAGGCTGGCCTTGAACTCAAGGCAGTCCTCCTGCCCCACCCTCATGGGTGCTGGAATTACAGGTGTGAATCATTGTGTTTGACTCACTCTATGCTGCTTTTAAAAGTAAAACATAAAACAGGACTTTGTTTGGGCCAAATCTCTTGAATTAATGTGCATATATAAATAAAAACACCATTGTTAATATTAATACTATTATTGTCCTCATTTTGATTTTTTTTTTTGCAACCGGATTTTGCTGTGTATTCCAGGCTGGCCTTACACTCATGTAGCCCAAACTGGCCTTGAACTTGTGGCAACCCTCCTGTCTCAGCCTCCTGAGTGCTGGACTGCAGGTCTGTGACACCATGCCTGGCTTATTGTCCTACAGTGTGACTATTTCATAAGAAAAGGGGAGGACACTGAGGAAAAATGTGATGTAATAAAGTCACATTTTAGTGATAATTAAGTGTTAGGGAAGCACAGTAACTCTTACAGGACTTTAAATACCAGCAATCTCTACAAAATACAAACCACATTATTCCCATGTTATTATAATATTAGAGATAGCAAATGCACCCTGCTTAAAGCTGGTTCCAAGCTTTGTGGGACCATAAGTATGGACAGGATCTGTGAAATATATACAGTAAAATGAGAACACAAAAGCAGGTGTGTTGCCCAGGCAAGTTAGGAGCCCTGAAGTGTATCTCATTGCCCTGACAGAAAAGCTGGCTATTGGGCCGGGGATGCAGCTCAGCAGCACAGTGCCTGCCTGGCAAGTGCGAGGTCGTGAGTTTGACCCCCAGTACCAAAGGAAAAAAAGATTAAAAAAAAAAAAAAAAAAAAGAAGAAAGGAAACTGTCTATGGAAGCTGCCTAAAAGATGAACATAGCCACTATTCCCCACTCACACTGTGGGAAGGCTTGAGGATTAGGGACAAGAGTGTTCTTTAAGCCAATAATTGAAAATTTATAGTAAATTTATTCCTTCCTTCCTTCTTTCCTTCCTTCTTTCCTTCCTCCCTCCCTTCCTTCCTTCCTTCCTTCCTTCCTTCCTTCCTTCCTTCCTTCCTTCCTTCCTTCCTTCCTTCCTGGAAATAGGGTCTCTCCAGGCAGTTCAGGCTGGCCTTGAACTCACTGTGAAGCCCAGGCTGGCCTTGAGCTCACAGGGATCCTCCTGGCTCAGCCTCCCAAGTGCTGTGACTATAGGTGTGTGCCACACCTGGCTATAATAAATTTAATACAGTTAAAATGAGTCTGTACATTCACCTAACTCATGTGTCTTGGTTACTTTTTTCCCATTGCTGAGATGAAATACCTGACACCCAGAATTAAGGAAGGAAAGGTTTATTGAGCTCACAGTCTGTGGAGGTTTCAGGCCATACTCGGCTGGCTCCAAAGCAGGGTGGCACATGTGAGCTCTAGAGGGCTCGAGTGACTCCACTTCTGGTGGCTTCCACGGCTTCTCTCTTCGGCCCACCTTGTTCCCTCCTTGCAGCTTTCCTCAGACCATCCACGTTCCTGGCTTTTCCAAACTTCTGAGGTCTCCAATGTACCTATTGCTTCACACTCACAGCCTCATACACTACCCTCTCAGGGGCACACTGCCTGGCCTCCCAGGCCTTCTGAAATCGAGGTGGAAGCCTTCTTAACCTCAGAACTCTTGCATTCTGTATGCACCTGAAACCAGTGCCACGTGGATGATACCAAGGTCTGCTGCCACCTGGAGCAGTAGCCAAGCTTTCCTCTCTTGGCCACAGGGGTCGAGTGCCTGGATCCCTGGGCACTCTGAATCCAATTCTGAGGAGCAAATGCTTTTTTTTTTTTTTTTTTTCTGGTACCAGGAATCAAACTCACGACCTTGCACTTGCCAGGCAGGTGCTGTGCCGCTGAGCTAAATCCCCAGCCCCTGAGGAGCAAATTCTCTATGCTGCTGCCATTCTGCAACCTGGTGCACTGCCGTCATTCTGGAACATGGTGCTCTGGGCTTCCTTCTCAAGGCAAAGTCTATCATCTTTACAGATTTGAGGGTGTAAAGGGAGGAGACTTGCTGCTTCTTGTGATGCCCTCAGGCCATCTTTTTGATTCTCTTTTTTCTTCTCAGCAATGAAGATCTCCTCAGTTCTATCTTTGCAGTCCACAGCTTTCCTGGAGCTTCCTTTCTGGCCAAACTCATAACATTTTAAATAATTCTGCTGGGCTTCTTGCTCTTGATTCTCAACATAAATCTGGCTAAATGCCCTCAACAACAGCCATGCCACCGCCTCAACATTTGACTGCCTTGAAATTTCTTTTGCCAGATTAATCAGTCCACTGCCCTTAATTTCAGTCTCAGGCAAAGTCTCTGGACATGAGCAAAATGCAGACAAACTTTCTGTCAATCCATAACATACATCATCTGGAGTCCAACAGCCAGTGCAGTCCTTCTTCCCAGCAGAAACCTCCCGGAACTTTAAAACCTCCTGGTCTTTACTGGCAGGATTTCTATCATCCTTTGGATGTTCTGAGCTCTGACCAGAATCTCCCATAAAGAAGAGCTGAAGGCATTCCAGCTCTACTCTTAGGTGACACCTCCAAACCTTTCCAAACTCTTCCCACAAGCCATTTCCAAAGGCTCTTGAACCACTTGAACCACATGCTCAGGTATAGTCACAGCAACAACCCCACTCCTTATACCAAATGTTATTTTGGTTATTTTTCTTTTGTTGCTGAGACAAAATACCTGATACCCAAAATTAAGGAAGGAAAGGTTTATTTAACTTACAGTTTGTGGAGGGTTTCAGTCCATACTCGGCTGGGTCCAAGGTAGGGTGGCACATGGCAGAGGGCAACAGTTCATGGTAGAAAACAGCAAAAAGCAGCAAGAGCAAAAGGAGGGAGGAGCAGCAGAGAGCAAGTCTCTTTCCCTTCCTTATACTGTATGCAAACTACCCATCCCAGGGCAGGTGTAGCACTCACACCCATAATCCCAGCATTGGACCATGGATCAATCACAAACTCTAGAAACCCCATGACTGCATGAGGCTTTGGGGGGACACCTAGACACAAACCATAATACCATGCCTTACTCTATCTGTAGTCCATCAGTCTCCATACTGTTACTTAGCTTTCTTGAAGAGTCAAAATATACCACAGGCATTCACTGAGTACAGATCTTAAAGGCAGAGTAAGTTCTTCCTAGGGAAATTTAGCATCCAAATTGAGACTTGTTGTAAGTATAGAATTCACACACTGGATTTTGAATCCCTGGTATAATGGGTAGAGTTAAAATATCTGATTAATAATTATTATATTAATTACATGTTGAAATAATATTTTTATAGACAACTCAATACATATATTTTTTTGGTACTGGGAATCAAACTCAGGGCCTTGCACTTGCCAGGCAGGTGCTGTGCTGCTGAGCTATATCCCTGGCCCAACACATACATTATTAATCTTAGTATTACCTAGTTCTTCTCACTTTTTAAAAATGTGGCACCAGGTATGGTGGTATACATCTGTAATCCCAGCCTTTAAGATCTGTACTCAGTGAATACCTGTGGTATATTTTGACTCTGGGAGGCTGAGGCAAGAGGATCACGAGTCTGAGCCCAGCATGGGCAGCTAAGCAACTAATGAAACCCTGCCTCAGAATAAAAAATAAACGTAGGCCTGGGGATGTAGCTCAGAATGAAGGTCCTGTAATCAACCCCCAATACTACACACATAAAAAGTGGCTACTAGAACATTTTTTAAAAAATTACTTTAGTGCTAGGGATTAAACCTAGGACCTCGTAAATACTCTCTAGAAACAGCTCTAGAAAAATTTAAATTACATACATAATTAGGATTATGTTTCTATTAAACAGAGTGGCTTTAGACACTGGCTGTTTTTCTCAAAGTGGTTATATAATTTTTGTAGTACTGAGGATTGAATGCAGGATCTTGGTATTGTGCTATATCTTCAGCCTGCTTTTTCTTTCCTTCTTTTCTTTCTCACTTTCTTTCTTGTTTATTTTAAAAAGAAAAGAACAAAAACAAAATAACAAAAACAAAGACAAAAACAAAACAACACAAAAACTATAAAAACGATACAGAATTTGAAAACAAGATGATAGGAAGTCAACAATGGTTGTTATCTTCAAAGTAGTTGCTTAGATTACCAGATACAGGTATGAAAGATCGATCAATTAAAGATTAGCTGTTCCTTTCAATAAACCAACAGAAATTAGTAGTATAACTATCTTAGCTATCTTGTGTGTGTGTGTGTTGCACAGTATCTATTGTACTTTTCAGTTTTATTTACTCTTTCAGGTTCTTACATTAGGGAGACAATACGGTGTTTACACATGCGGGTCTCATTTATTTCACTTATGAGTATGGGCTCTAGTTGCATCCATTTACCTATAAAATCCTCAAGTTTATCTTTCTTTACAGCTGAGTAATATTCCATTGCATGAAAACATCACATTTTTCTCATCCATTCCTCAGTTGATGGGCATTTGAGTTGTCTCCAAAATTTAGCTATGACAAATTGTGCTGCTATAAAGATGGGTGCACATATATCGCTATGATTCTTTCTCTCTGTTTCTTCCTTCTTTCTCTCTCACTGCGTAGTTGAGGCTGGCCTTGAACTCACTATGTACTTCAGGCTGGTCTCGAACTCATGGGATCCTCCTGCCTCGGCCTCCCAAGCGCTGGGATTACAGGCGCACGCCGCACCTGGCCGGGAGTATGTAAATTTTTCGGAGCCCCAAACTTAACGGTAACACTTAGAGAAGCCACGGTCCGCGGACCGCACTTGCCAAACGCCACTGCCGGGACGTTTTACCTGACTTGAGGCGGCGGGATTCCTACCACTACGCAGTCCAGCTGCACGCGGGACCCTTCAGGCACTTCCCTGCTCCGCAGCTTCTGCGCGAAGCGGGGCGCGCGCCCCAGCGGCTCCTCGCAGCGCGGGTCGCCG